AATATATGTGTTGAATTGCTTTACCTTGCTTTGTTCTTAATTCTAATATGTTAAGCAAGTGTAAAGGGAAGTTTAGGAGTTGAGGTAACTGAAGTTTAAACTGAATTGGGGAGCTACATTGTTTAAACTTTTGTGCTGCTGCTAGCTGAAATATTCTGCAGAAACAGGTTTATAACATATTTTGTGGATGAAATTGAAATGTTAAATGAAGTGCATGAACTCTAAGCTTTTGTGAGAAGGTGAACCAAGTATGTGAGAATATTTTCCAAGTCTGAGACCTCATAGAATACCTATTATACCCTCGAAATAGAGGCATTACAGCAGCACCAGATTAGACCCTGCAGAAACTGAGTTGCTACTGATTTTTTGCTGTATTGACCTTTTCTTGCTGTGCTTACTGAAGACACTCTGTGTGCAAGTGTATTGTGATGATTTGTAGCTGTGGGAACCTGCATTTGATCAAGGCTCAGAGGTTTTGACAGAATTGCCCTTGAAAGCTTGGAAGCTTGGGTTTTGGGTTCTTTAAGTCTATTATGAACTGAGATTCGTATATTTTGCTCCATTCACTGCTATAACCTATAAAGCAAGTTTATTTTGTGATATCAAGGCTGTGAATACAGAAGAATAGTCAGTTTTGAAGCTACAGGGTGATTTGACAGGTTTACCCTTGTCTAGGGTTTTGAAGCCTTATGTGTTGAAATTGTTGTTTATTTACTGTCCATTCTCCAAGATTGATTTGAGCAAGTTAGTTGAGCTTATTCAAGGCTGTGAGAACCTAGTGTGAGCTATAAGTGAAGCTGCATTGTGATTTAACTGATCTACCCTTCTTGTTGCAGTGAAGTGAAGCTACGGTTTCTTCTGTTTCATACTTATAGCTGAGTATCCACTCTTATCTTGTGTTGAAGCTTAAGTATCATGTATATGGTGTGTTGACACCTTTATTCATTGTTGATCAAGCCATGAAAGTTTTGTTTGTCCAAGCAGGGTTGCTTAGGACAGTGGGAGTGCATGTGTGCTCATTGCTGTTGCTTGTGTGTATGTAGAGGGAGTGAAAGTCAGTGTTCTAGCTAGTACAAGGTGTGTGGAAAGTGGGACAGCTGAGTGAGTAACTATTTGCGTGTAACAAGTGAAGATGAAGAGCTAGTGTGTGTGTAGTGGTTGTAAAAGTCAATGTTCTTACTTGTACAAGAAGTGTACTGAGAGTGAGATAGTTGAGTCACTACAACAAATACTGGTATTAGGGACGAAATTTTTAGCAAGAAAATTAAATTTGTTGCAAAAGGCTGCAGTTTGTGACAAATTCAAATTTTGTTGCCTAATATGTATTTTTTTTACAACAAACATGTAAATTTGTCGCCTAATGTGTAATGTTTTGCAACAAATTACGAGTTCGTTGCCAAAAGCACTATTTTAGGAAACAAATATCTGTTTTGTCTCAAATGGTGAATCTTTTGCCAACAAAAATATTATTTGTGCCGAAAAATTATACATTTAGGGACGAATAATTTGTTGTAAAAAATTATTTTTTTTGAGACAAAAGGTTTTGTTGCAAAAAGTTATTTTTTTGCAACAAATCTTTTTTTTTTGTCTCAAATTGTGAATCTTTTGTCAATAAAAATATTATTTGTTCCAAAAGACTTAACATTTAGTGACAAAAAGGTTGTTGCAAAAAAATACATTTTTAGAGACAACAATTTTTGTCCCAAAAAGTGAATTTTTTAACTACAAATCTCTTTTTTGTCCCAAATTGTGTATCTTTTGTCAACAAAAATATTATTTGTCCCAATAGACTTAACATTTAGTGACAAGTAATTTGTTGCCAAAAAATATATTTTTAGGGACAAAAGTTTTTGTTGCAAAAAGTTAATTTTTTGAGACAAATATTTTTTTGTCTCAAATTGTGTATCTTTTGTCAACAAAAACATTATTTGTCCCAACAGACTTAACATTTAGTGACAAGTAATTTGTTGCCAAAAAATATATTTTTAGGGACAAAAGTTTTTGTTGCAAAAAGTTAATTTTTTGAGACAAATATTTTTTTTTTTTTTTGCCTCAAATTGTTTATCTTTTGTCAACAGAAACATTATTTGTCCCAATAGACTTAACATTTAGTGACAAGTAATTTGTTGCCAAAAAATATATTTTTAGGGACAAAAGTTTTTGTTGCAAAAAGTTAATTTTTTGAGACAAATATATATATTTTTTTTGCCTCAAATTGTTTATCTTTTGTCAACAGAAACATTATTTGTCCCAATAGACTTAACATTTAGTGACAAGTAATTTGTTGCCAAAAAATATATTTTTAGGGACAAAAGTTTTTGTTGCAAAAAAGTTAATTTTTTGAGACAAATCTCTTTTTTGTCTCAAATTGTGTATCTTTTGTCAACAAAAATATTATTTGTCCCAGTAGACATAACATTTAGTGACAAGTAATTTGTTGCCAAAAAATATATTTTTAGGGACAAAAGTTTTTGTTGCAAAAAGTTAATTTTTTGAGACAAATCTTTTTTTTGTTGACAAAAGATGTATCTTTTGTCAACAAAAATATTATTTGTCCTAATAGACTTAACATTTAGTGACAAGTAATTTGTTGCCAAAAAAATATATTTTTAGGGACAAAAGTTTTTGTTGCAAAAAGTTAATTTTTTTAGACAAATTTCTTTTTTGTTTCAAATTGTAAATCTTTTGTCAACAAAAATATTATTTGTCCCAAAAGACTTAACATTTAACCTTGCCAATTGTCTTCGATCTCCATTCTTGTTACAACCCTCAAGATTGATCTCTCGAATCAAAAGTTAGCTCCAAAGTAAGGTACATGTTTGATAAGCTTAAATGGGTATGGAAAAAATGATGAAACTAATTGAAATTTAAATAAGCCAAGTTTGGAATTTAAGTTTGAACTTAAAGGCACCCAAGTTTTTAAGAGGGGGAGGACCTAGCCAAGCTTAATTGGGTCCAAACCATTTACCACACACACGCGTGCCTCGCCCGCCCGGTCCGGTCTTAATTATAAAGTTCGATTAATTTTTTATTAATCGGAATTAGGCCTGCTGTGTGGACTTAATTTAATTTTTGGCTGGGCTGGGCTGGGCTTATTTAAATTGGTTTTTCTAACCAGTGCATCAAAGGGTTGCACCTAGTTCAAACCAGTACGTATGTGCTTCGGTTTGAATTTGAATTGAACCAGTTTTATCCAAAGGGTTGCACCTGGTTCTATTTGAATGAATCATCTGAGTTTGAGTCCAGTCTATAAGAGAGAGTACTACACTAAGCCGGTTTGCCCATTTCTTCAGTTCGCAATGCTACTATAGAAGAAAGAAAGGTCATTGCATCTTAGGAGATAAACGCTACTGAGTCCGTAAGTACCATAGCAGGGCGAATCTATCTTAAGGATATAGAATCAAATTATAGTCTCGACCTATTATCAGGTTCTTTTATTTTTATATAGTTTTATTTTATTATATAATAAAATATATATTATTATTTTATTATATATATTATAATTGTTTTGTAATAATAATTTATATATATATATTATTTTTTTTACATAATATTTAAATAGTAATACTATAGTATATGGTATACTTAGACCATATTTGGACAACATATGCGTGGGTACGTACATAGTTCTCAATGAGTCAGTAAGTCTAAAGAGAGAGAGAGATGACAGTTTATACGAATGTGGGTCGTCAGTGTTGGTACCGGTGTTAGCGACCATCTTATAGTTGACAGTGACAAAAGTTACTGTCCTAGACAACTCATGAAATCGCTGGAACCCAACAATGTTAACATAGAGCGACCAAAATGTTAGATTGGTCATATTAGATTTTGTCCTCTTTGGTCATTCCATAAATGTAATTTTGCTTTAAATAATATGCAAATTGTGTATATAAGGGTAATTTGGTTAATGTATTACTTTAATGTGTCTGGTGGTATGTATTTGCACATTTTTTTTCAAATTGATCAATGGTGTTTTGTACACAAGAGGGGATTGATATATATGTGTGCATTGTAAGGATATTATTACATGAGTGTGTAAAGGCACTTTACTCTAAACTGTGATCGAGCTTATTCTCTTCTCTTACATCCAATTGATGAACAAAAATAGGGAATGACACTATCTTCTTTAGGGATGTCGATCTCATCCATCTCTCCCTCCTAGCCAAATTGTTTCTTTCCTACCGAACAAACATTATTGAAAAGTATTTATTATCGAAACAAAACTCCATTGTGTTATGAATTTGATGTCCTAGATTAAAAAAATAGTTTTTTTAAAATGAAATTTAAATATTTTATAACTTTTCCAACAAAGAATTTTCCTTTTTGAAAATTAATTTTCTTATTTTTTGCATAATGGACAGAGTTAAAACATAAACTTTATACTAATTAAATACATTGTTTATACAAAATAATTAAACTTAGAAGTTTAATAGATAATAATTAAAATTTTCAAACATTAAATCTTTATTGTGTTGTACTCGTATCCCATGTCTGTGCTTTGTATATATATAGTTGATGAGATGAGATGATTTCATAAGAACTACTCCCTCTTTCCCAAAATAAATATCCCTTTTAGGAAGTTGTGACTCACAAAGGTATCATACTCGTGTCCCACATGTTCATGTCCCTGCTTCATATTCAAAGTTTCCTTAAAAAATATTAGTGAGTCACAGTTTTTCAAAACATACACATATTTTTGGAATGGTGAGAGTGATTTTCAAAAATAATTAATAAAAAAAAAATCCTAAAAAACTCGACATCATCATAGTAAAAATAAATAATTAAATTTAAGCTGGGGTATTAGTTTTAACTTTCTCAAAAGAATTAATATATATATATATATATATATATATATATATATATATATATATACCTTTTAGGGATGGTATGGTGTGTCTCTAATGCCCAAAATATCTACCCAAATTTTTTGCGGGAAATTTTAGCGCCAAACATTTTGGTGGCACGTGAATTAAGTGTGAGAAATTTAACTTTACTCTTTTCTCAACACAAATCATATATGCTCTGCCTTCTGTCAAGCTTTCAATGAAAGATAAATCAATTGATTGGGTCAGTTGAGGTGGAAGAAGATAAGAGGGAAACCAACACAAGAAAGGGAGGAAAGGTCACAACGTATGTTCGCTGGTTCGGAGGTTAGGTAATACAGAAAAAAGAAGCTAAAGAAGCCCCAATCTTTCTCTCGATCGATCTGTTCTCTCCCTCTCAAGATGAAGACGATGCTCTAGTTTATCATCATCAGATTGTAGGCTCAATTACCAGGTCTTTGTTTCTCTCTATATTTCTCTTGCTATACACACACACACACACACACACACATATATGTAAAAGGAAGATATTTCTCCTGCTATATATACATCCACTAGATGAAATTCTGAATCTAGTGTGTATCAGAAGAGGAGGGAAATAGTAGCTCCTAAGCAAGAAAAGGCATGCGGGTTCAGACCGTTCGGAGGCTCTAACGGACTCCTTGACCGTAGACCTCCCTTCTAGATGCAAAATCGAAAGATAAACATCCGAATCGCCCATGCCCGTTTGTGATTTCTAGAATTGGCTTTGGCCTTTCCTTAAGTAAGGAAGAGATCTTGGATCCCTTCTATCTCTCTGAACTCTAAACTGAAAGTATATATAGAATCCTTTTGAAGCTTAATTAGAAGCCAAGCGCCCAAATCCCTTAACTTATAGTCAACAAGCCCATTCCAGACCTTAATGACCATTATTCTGATATTTCTTTTCTGAAGTTGGTGAGATTGCACTACAATTTATGATTTTCGGGGGCCTCTTCTGTACCCTAGCTTCCCTATGGCAACTATTATAAGGAGGAGGAGGTCGGACGAAAAAAGGACAATTTTTAATTTATTATATAATACCTATTATATTAACGATGCATTACACGTACGTGTGTGTGTGTGTATATATATATAATGGGATTGTTAGGCAGATAAGTATTTTAATTTTAAATTGTCGCCTGATAATAAAAAGGTTTCTATATAGGAAGAGATTTAGCCAGAGAAGAAAGTTCGTGATTAATCAGGAAGGGAGTGGAATTTGAAGGGAGATCTTTTGGAGGAAATACAACCTGTGAAGAAGTAACAGGCAAGTAGATCATTACTATATTTTAATTTCCATTGTTTAGATATTATAGGCTAAATACATCTATTACCAAAGATAGATGTTAGTAAATTATTTGTGATAACAATTATAGGTGAATATGCTGATACGGTTATATGTGCTAATATCTTGTTATTAATTGTTATAGCTATATGTGGTATCATGACAGATATGAAACTGAGGTGTGAGTGATAATGGATATATATATATATATGGTTATACTTGTTCAAATTATTTCCTTATTGCATATGGTTAGATTTAACTCACACATACATGAGCATAATTGTACCTAGTGTGTGGAGTCAATCGCAAGGGAATTATGATTTTGGACAATGACATCATCCTTAGTAAATTAGAGTTCTATTTGATTAGTACCTTCCTGTACTTATCTAAGCATTTATATGCATATAGGTGCTTATATTATATAATTGAATTAATTAAATTATATGAGAATGGGTTAGTTGATGATTACATGCATCTCAACTTGTGAAATTGTAGAATGTGGGAGTTAGGCTGAGTATAATTTGTGTTCAAACATAGACCAGTTATATGTTAATTAGCATATGTTACATTTAAAACTATGCATTCATGTACATTCTTTTGTTTAATCCTTCATTGGTAGTGCCAAAATTGGGTATTTCATCCTTGCTTTATAATGGAAACAAAAATTCTTATATTGCGCGCTTGTTAATCTGCATCACAAATTAAGCCTATCTCCAATGCGAAAAAATAATTCACACATCATATCACATTACCATACATAAGAACATAACATGTATATATTAAAGAGAATAACCAAAATCCATTATGTTATTCTCATTAAATCAAAAACATGAAGTCAAGTACCATGTCTACAACCATCCATCTAATATAATAAAGTGAACGAGAAATAAAAAACTAAACCACTAACTTCAAAGGAAGCCATTATCTTTTGCAAAATAAGAACATAACCATCAATTTTGAACATATATTAGCCTCAACTAGTCCATACAAAATCTTGGCGGCAAATATCTACTTCAATGTTTAGTGAGTAGTGCTCTTTCAAGTTTTTATGATTTGGATCCTTGAGATCAGTTATGCGAAAAGATGCGTGCCCTTGTTTGATTTACTTTAAAATAAAAAATTAATATATATATTTGCAAGTCTTAAATATGAAACTGTAGTGATGACTAAGAAGCAATGGGAACATTAATTAATATAAAAGAAAGAAATTATAACTCTGTTGAATTGCAATGTTCAACTTCGTTGCCAAGAAAGCAACAATAAATTTTTTTTACACATTTACTAAAATGCAACAATAAAAATCAAGCAACCCAACCCATCATTAATGAAAATTAATCAAAGCAGCCCACCATTATCAGCCATGCACATCAGCATATTAATCTATATTACTCATGGTTATTACAAATGGGTTCTTAGACATGATTAAAATTAATGCCCAAAGACTGAAAAAGGTCAAATGTGTTCTGTTACTACTACAACTTTCTATGGAGGACCTATTGTAATAGTAAAGAGACAAACATTATTTGAAGGAAGCATGGTAATGTGCAAAGAGAATGAAGGTTCATCATGTCTGCTCCCTCTGATGTCTCTAGGCTTTGATTTCGAGGCTTGGATTAGACCCACATCTTAAATTATTTTTCAAACATTTTACTTATCAAAGAAAAAGAAAAAAGACAAACAATTTCCAGAATCAGAATTTGAAACCAAGATATATCATTGATTTTGAAATTGAAATCAACTAAATTCAAGAAGATATTGAGAAATTCTAGTGAAAAATCAAACACATAAAATAATTTAAAAACAAGAAAAAGATCTGTGAAATTAATTATATGTAGCAAATTACCTGAATTCAACAACCCATAAGCTGGTTTGCATGAACCAATCTGAATTGATTAAAAATCAGAACCTAGTTTGCTATTTGAAGGAAAAAGGAAAGTAATTCGATGTTGCTTGCTTGGCCGGAAGCTTTGTTGTTGATGTTTAATTGTTTGCACACACATACTAGTAAATAAAGCTTTTAATTTCATTAGAAATAAATTCACGGATATCATCGGTATAGTAAATCGATGAGCATAAATATATATAACTTAGTAGAACAAAAAAACAAAGAAGGATGGATTCAATATTATAAAACTCACTGTGCGCCTCTCGCCTAGGCTCCAAGGGAACTATAGCGCCTCAGTGCAACTAGCGCCTTGAACCAACATTGTGTTATTCAGATGATATTATAAAACATGCCTTGTTTTTGAATTCTTTTATATACCCTAAGTTATTTAAGCAAATATTCTCATATATCTACTTTATCTCAGGAAAATTTCGTGATTGATCTCGACAATTCTCGCATCCGAAATGGACTTGACAAATGGCTTGTAGTTCAATTTCAATCACATAAAAATCGCATGCACATGTATTTTAAATCTTTCGGAGATGATGTAGAGAGGGCTAGGAGAAAGCCTTATAGAAATGTTCGTCCTGGGGATTGGCAAGCTATATGTGAAAATTTCATGACCCCGACATTCCAGGTACATTATTCTTTTCCTATTCATATGGTAATGTTCTATTTGTAGGCTTAGGTTGGTAATGACAATTCATTAAAATGAAATGCAGAATAGGAGCGCTATCAATAAAGCAAACAAGGCAAAGAATCTAACAAATCACCGTGATGGCTCAAAGCCATTTGTCACACTTCGCTATGAAATGGTTATTTCCAATGTTCTATTATTTTTTATAATTATATAAATTTACAGATGTAAAATTAATAATATTTGGTTATGATTATCTTAACTGAAATAGCGAAACATGGAGACAGAAGATGAACCATACATGGTGACATTTTATCACCGAACACACTGTAGGGAGGATGGGACATGGGTCACCCAACATTGTCAGGGTCTCTATGTGTGTATACGCATAACTGGTAAATTTTAGTTTATTATTTTGTATTTATTAATTATTTACGTACCAATTTGTATGGATATGCAGGATAAAATGATTCATGAGGTCAATCAACAAGAAAATTCGGATGGTGTATCCAATTCCTCTACACAGTTGACCCGTAACGAGATTTACTTTCAAATAGTTGGTTCAACATTGTCGTATGTTCGTGGGCTTGGTCATGGGGAAATGTCCACTGTTCTTTACGGGGAAGTCGTGAAGACGTTGTTGATGCTAGGTGTAGTGCTGATGAAGCAAATCGAAGGGCTGATGAGGCAACACAAAGGGCTGAAGAGGCAAATCAAAGGGTTGAGGCAACATAATAGCGATTGGGGGATCAAATCAACTTGTCCAAAGTAACAGAAGAGAGAATGGGGGACCAAATAAGCTCTTTGCAGGCTCAACTCACATCTTTAACAGCATTGGTGCAGCAAGCTCTAGGGGACTCGTTAACTAGGGAGGCTCATCATCTTGCTTAGTAAGTTAAATCAAATACTTTACTGCAAACACTGAATTTGATATTTGCTAGAATGCATTTTTTTTTTGGTTATTAGAAGGATAATAGTTTTGTTTACTGGTCGAGGTATTGGCAAAATTGTGCATGTGATTCTTTGGTGGTGATTGATTATGCTTGGATGGTTGTTTTCTTGTTTTAGTGTTAGTTTGGTAGGCTCTATTCAGGCAAGGAACCCATATGCTGCACTTATCTTGAATCAGATCCCAGAATAAACAACACTTAGCAGCCCAGTCATTATATCTCTCTAAGTTTTAATTTTAGTTTTATCTCTTTCAAAATACTTGAATGAAATATACTGTTGAAATTAATTAGTTAACAATAAGGTACTTTTCTATAGTTGATTGCCATAGAATTGAAATGCTTTTCCATTAATTAGGTGGCAAAATCACCACTTGCTTCAAGCATTCAATTAAAGAGAATTCTAATTAAATAATATGTAGCCTGATTGTATCTAAAGTACTTTCCTAAATTTTAGATCATTATACTTATTTCTTGTGCATAAATATTAAATACTAAACTACAAGCATTGATGTTCTTTTGTGTCCATTAACTGTAATGTGTGGTGTTTGTAATCTTGTTACATATATAGTCCTAGTTATACGCATGGAAATCCTTGAGCCTATTGACCGCTCATGCATTGTTTTAGAATTAGAGTCCGACTTTACCTACCTCTTTTTTTTTGGGTAAGTGATTTGAATAATTGAATGTAAACCACAATTCCTTTTATTTATATTTGGTAAGTATAATTAATTTACATTTCCTTATCATTTTTCTTATGAAATTAGGGTTCATTGTCAATATATATATATATATATATATATATATATATACACAAATTATCTTTCATAAGTTTCACTAACATCCTTGGGAGTTGCAACTTCAGATGGGAACTTGAGAACATTTTCTAATAGCGAAGCATAAACTTGGACAGTTTCTTCAACCATTAAGTTTTTAGAAGAATATTTTCCAAACAATGCAACATTGTGAGATAGAGGTGATAATCTTCCCTTTGATACCACTTGCAATACAAGATCTGTTAGAGCCTTGATATTCTCCCTTGGGAAAAGATAGCCATTCACCTTGTCAACGACCTAAATTTTTTATCCATAAGAATAATAAATGAGTTACAACCAGGAAGTTTTAAGACATTTTCGTTATTATAATTGGACATGTCATAACCTTCCAGAAAGATTGGAGACCCATATTTTTTAAGAGTTGCTGCACATGAGATCTCTTAAGGCCAAATATTTAACCTTCCAGAAAGCCTTACACATGATTTAGAGAAGGTTCACTCAAAGTGCAATTAGAAATTCTAAGTAGGATCTGCAGATAATTTTTGTTATGTCTCCAAAATAGATGACTGGTAGAAGGTTCACTTAAAATAAAATATTAGATTCCAGTGAAAATTGAGGCATGATAGTATCTCTTTCTTAAAGTCTCCTAAGCCTGATAATGTTGGCCATCAAGAAACTTGTCCACAAATTACAGCATACTTTTGAACTGATAATTTGATTTAGACCACTGGGGGGGGGGGGGGGGGGGGGGGGGGGAATGACGTGGCTGAATGAGAAATGAATGTATTTAGAAAAAGCTATAGCACCAATTAGAGAAGGCCAAAGAGAACCACTAACAAAAATATGAATAAGACAAATCTGTTTTGCAATTTGAAAGAAGATATAGTCTACATAGAGGGGCCATTACTTGGTGCAATGGCAAAAGTTCTAGGTGACAAACGTAGGTGTACAGATTCAAAATTGAGAACAGCTACTTTGAATTGTTTGTTGTATATTATTGTTTTTACAACTTTTGGTTGAATTTTACAAAAATCCCCAGTGCCAAAGTTGTTGACAGTTCTAAAAGAATTGAAAAAGAGAGCTAAACTTGAAAGAAAAGGAAAGAAATTTCTAATTGAATAATGATGGGGGTTGCATGAGAAGTAAGATTTGTTTAACATCAGTCTTTTAAGAGTATCATGGATTAGTCAAGTTTATTTTAGTTAGTTATGGAAGGAGCATGCATGAGACTTTGCTTGTGCTGTCCTTTCAATGTAATACAATGAACTGAACTATAGCAAAAGGCATTGCTTTGCGATTGGTTCTTTAGTACAACTGATCTTCTTCTTCTTCTTCTTTTTATTTTTTATTTTTTATTTTTTATTTTTTATTTTTTATTTTTTATTTTTTATTATTGTCTTGATGTATTACTAAATAGTTGGTTCATAAAATTTGATGCTCTTTCTTAGGTTAGTAGTCCTTTTTTTAAAAAAGTAAAAAATTTAATTCACTTCCATGCTCACTTTGCCTTTAGAAAGACTTGAATGCTTTACAGTGAACTGTATTTTTGAATTGTGTCAAGTCACTGGTAGTAATTACAAATAAATTAGATTTTTAAATTTTGTTAGGTCAATAGTAGTAATTACAAAGAAATTAGTGAGGCATTGGACCAATTTCTGTAGCATGTGTAGTGGACCGGCTCCTTAGTGGGTTCTGTCATGCTAGGTACATATTTCAACCTTACATTCATTAATCTCCTCCCAAAAATATAGAAATATTCCTCACTTTGCAATGGAGCACATATAGAGCTAATTTTCAGCTAGCCAATTAAGGAAACCATGTGTGCTCACATGAAATTAGAGAAATATCACAACCTTCATCATTACACCATTAGCATGTGTGTATATTTATATTGACTCTGTGTGTGAGAAAGAGAGATGGTGTTGATGGTGATGGAGAAGAAGATGAAGCCAAAATAGGTGCCCATTTTCTAAATTAAAGAGTAAAGTTAGGTGTAAAAAGGAAGAAGATAATCGAACCCACAAACACCTACTGTAAGTCCATCAATAGTTGAAGACCAAACATGTTAATGTATTTGTAATCATTCCAAACATGTTGGCTTTTGTATTAATGTGAATTGTTTAAGATATTTTTTTGTGCTCTTTAATAATTATTTGTTATTTTGTGATTTGTTATTTGGTTTGTATTTTTGCATTCTTAGTGTGTAAAAAGGGCTTTGAAATTATGAGAAGACTTTGTAGAAACTTAAATTTGTTGTAGTGGTTTGAACTAATCATAATTTTTCTATGATTTTTTGACATATTGCATGTGGCTGGGATTATCTTTTTGACTTTTTGTTGCAGGTCCATTAACTATATTTTTTGTTTCATATGGGCTCAGGATAAACTCACTTTTGTACTTTTGGTTCTTACATGGGATTGGATTTATGGATCTCCCATCTTCCCATTGTTGGCAAATTGCAGGTAGCTGGGCTTATTAGCTTTTTGACATCTTTTTGTTGTAGACCCAGTGACTCAGTTGCAGTAGTGGTGGGTTGTCTTCATCGGGCCGCCACGACATCATTTTTGTTTTTAACCTTTCTCCCCCGTCCGGACTCCAAATTGAGTAAAATTTTTTTTGAACTTGACTAATTTGTCATTGTATTTCCAGTGGTGTGCTCGATAGCACTTGAATTCACTTTTTGAAAAATGACCATTTTTCCCTTAGGTTCTTTTTGTCCGTTTTTGAAACGACATTTCTGCATTCATTTCCTTTGGGTTCCGTGACCTTATTGAGGGTCACATTGGTGTCTTAGAGACGCATTGTATCTCTAGAGACCGTTGTTTTACCTTTCGCTTTCGCATTTCGGATCCATTATCGGGTCATCTTTTGGTCATCATTGACGCATCGGGTTTATAAAACTTGGGCCGTCATAGCTTGAAGTTAGGAGTCCAAAGGTGGAGCTTGCCAAGACAAAATCGTTCTAGGGAACTTGAATCTGTCCAAAGTACTTAAACCGGTTCAACATGGGCAGTGTGCCCACATTGGGAACCAAATTTCACTCTTGAACCAGTTCAACATAGTTAGAATGATAAAAATAGCCCAGAAAAACCTAAATTGAGTGCAAAGGGTTATAGACACCACTTAGGTCTCATAGAAGATCGTTATGGTGATTTTCATCCTGCCTAACATATGATATATAAGGTTATAAGTGACAACAAAATGGAATCCATACATCATTTGAAGTCCAAAATAGGTTCAATTACATCTAAGAATGGCCATTAGGCCTTACATCAGATTAGAAATCCTAATGAGACCACAAAAGGCAAAATGATGGTCTCAAAACCATTTTCGTCCGCAAAATACATACGAGTAGCCATTAATTACAAGTTTAAGGCAAAATAAATACATGTATCATTACAATTCTCAAAACATCAAATATTACATACCTCAAAAGAGAGTAAAAATTTAGTTGATAAAAGGAGGTCCTCAATGTCATCACATATAAGATTGTGGGTCGTCCATAACTTATTTCCCATTTCTTGAAAAATGATAATAAAAGGGCGAGCATAATGGCTCAGCAGGTGGTGCCTAAAGCACACTCCTTAATAATTTCGTGATTCACACGTAAAGAATGGAACATAGGAAATGAGTCATACTTAATTTGGGGAAAATGAATAAAATGATCATTATCACACAAATCCAAATATTATCAATGGAATGATATGCAATGCCAATGCAATGCTAATGTCGAACCCATTTCTAAACCTTTACACAACAAAACAACTGTCAAACCGTTAATGTAACCTTGCATCGGGCGATTCCCTGCTGCCACGAAAGAAGGATTAGCTAATTATCCCTGACCTAAGGTGACTCCTTAGCATCATTTGGGGCTTAGGTAACTAAATCACACATAGAGTAGTCTCCCTATGTTCCTTCTGTGAGATATTATTTTGTAATTGGAAATTATTGGAAACAAAACAAGTCCTTGTCGAGTTGTAATTCAAGTTATCATATCAGGATCTAAAGCGATTGCGGAATGGGAAGGCTGTTCAAAGTTACCATAACTGAGATCTTTCGAAAAAGGTAAGAATAACACATTAGGAAGGATTCTAAAAAGGTTAAGACACATTCTACCCTTGGTATTTATTTCAAACTTACCAAATATAGTGCTTCAACTTGAATGGACCATAGTTTCAAGTTCTGGCTAACTTGAATCGATTCAACACCATTGAACCGGTTCAAGGCTTCAAGTTTGGTTCGAAATTCCAAATTGCCAAACTTGAACCGATTTAGCCCCTCTGAACAGATTCAAAGTGTCTTGACAGCAGTCCACTTTTAGTTTCCTTTTTCAGAATTCTTTCCTACTTGTTTCAGAATTGTACCAAGTCCTATGCACGAAATTTTCCATATTTTCAGAGATTAAGACATTCTAAACTCTATATAAACTTTGTTATTCATCTAGGTTGAAAAACGACTTTCGCACTATCAAGTCATTATCGATAAAAGCCTAAGGAAGATTATTTTTGCAAAAAATTCAAGAAATTTCTCTGTCATCTTTCTAGAATATATACACATACACACATAGTGAGTTTAGAGTTGTATTGTTCAAATCCTAATCGTGATCATGCAGTTGAATCTACATCGATCAAAGAAAAGCATATCTACTTCTACATCGAATTTAGATGTTGAAAAACAGAAGTAAAAGCGATTACACTTTGAAAGGGTTGGAGCATTCGTGGAGTATTATCTGATCTACCTGTTACTCTTCTACAGATATCAAGCATAAGCCTGAGGTCAAGTTGCTGTGGGATGGGATGTCGCAAGTTCAGAGGATTGTCAGCAATTGGTGTTTAATAGAATGATAGGGTCTGAGCCAGAGTCAAAGTTTAGTGTACTTTGTTTCAAACATAGTGGATTGGTTTACTTTAGACTGCATAGTTCACGAGGTTTTTCCGCGCAAACAATTGACGTATTTTATTAACTGGGGTTTTCTCGCTAAAAATCCTTATGTCATCTATAACTTTTTGCTTTACTTATTTTATCTGCATATGATTAAGTATTTAATTGCTAAAATAAGGAAAGTTAGAAAAACACAAGATCTGTTTTTAAAAATTACCGAACTTTCTAAATATTCTACTACGTACAACTCACACACTGTAGGTTCCATTAACCCCATGGACACAAGGCGACTCCTTGTCGTCCGGTTTTCGCAAAATTTTATTAAAATCCCATTTTTAAAAATCAAACCCCTCAATTCAAAATCAACTTTCTCATTACTCCCACAATGCCAATGTATGAATGATCATTATCATGCTAACATGAAAATCCATGCATTAAACTAGAATCATGTTTGTATGCTTTGGAAACAATTGATATAATAATTCACACACAAACAACTTCACAACTAAGGCATTTTAGAATGAAAATCATTTAGCAATATGAATTAAACACAAAACCTCAAAATAGTTCACATAAGCGTGTAATTCAACACATTGTATCACATAGTACATGAATATCATGCTTTATAATTGTAAATCCTAATAGTCATGAATCAACTTCATAAATTATACATGTGATAGTACTACCTCCATTCCATAATAGTTATCAATTTGAAAAACTTTGATTCACTACCACCTTTTATGTCATTTCCCATTTTCAAAATCACATCCATTCTCCACTTTTCAAACCGTTAACATAATCCGTCCCTTGGTGACTCCTCGGCAACACGAGAGAAAGATTGGCTATTATCCTGACCCTTGGTATTTCCGTGGTGTCATTTGGGGCCCAGATAGCTCAACCTTGGTAGGGTGATTTCCATAGTTCCCCCTAAGTTATATTAACACCACGGACCCTCGGTACCTCCTCGGCGTCCGAATTTTTTCCAAAAACTCTTTGTCAAAACTTTTTCCCAAAGCTCCTTTTTCATTTCAAATCAAATTTATTCCCATTTCCTTCCCAATGCTTATGCATGAATGCATCATGTTATATCAATGATCATCCTTCTATGACTAATTCAAAACTTAAACACATAACATACTTTACAAGAAATTCCAAGGAAATTACAATATGTCTTCATATAGCAATTCTAGCAAGTTAACAACATAATAGGCATAGAAAATTAACAATTAGGCATGGTCTTCATCTAAATTAACTAATACACATAGTTACACATTTCATATACAATATCTAACCAAATTTTCTTTTAAGATTCTATACAATTTAATCATGCTAGATAACAATATAAGGAAATAAATTCACAAAAGAATAAGAAGTCATGCATTAGGAACCTCTACCTTAATTTTGTAAAAAAAAACTCCCAAATGGATCCAAAATTTTGAAATTCTAGGGGAGGCACAAAGTTGAAATTGCTTATATAGACATGAAGATCTCGCCGAGCTCTTCAATTTGCCGCAAACGGCACCCAAAAATTCCAAAAGATGAGGAAGTAATTGAAGCTTGAATTTTGCAAAGGAAAAGGAAAAAGAAAAGAAAAGGAAAGAGAGAGGGCCAGGAGATAGAGAGAGAATGAGGACACAATGGCATGGCCTCTTGGCCACTAAAATCAACTTAGTGGGGAGTGGGTCCCACCCAAAAAAATAAAAATCCTATTTTGACTTTTCTTTTGCACCAAAAAATATATATATACATAACCATATAAAACCCAGATAAACACATTAAATAATATGTATGAGATGCAAATAGACCCAATTAAAATCCTCGTACACAATAATCCCGGTGGCGGGTCCCACACGGGACCGTCCAGCCCGAAAAACAAAAAAATGCCAAAATGACAAACCTTATATTCCTAAGAGTCCTAAACTCAATGGAATGCTCCAACCAACTCTCTGACATACTCGGCACACCCTACAGTGTTCGGCAAGCAAAACGTGAAAGGACGAAAATGCCTTTGTAACGACAAAAATTTCAGAAAATGAAAAATGGTAAAAAATGGAAACATTACAATCTCCCCAATTTAAAAGGATTCATCCTCGAAATCATACCTGTGGGAGAAAACAATGTTGGATACTTAGAGCGAACTTCCTGTTCAAGCTCTTAAGTAGCCTCCTCAACTCTGTAGTGTCTCCAAAAACCTTCACTAACGGTATCGTCTTGTCTCTTAACCCCTTTTGTGGTGTGTCAAGGATCTGAACTGGTCCTTCTTCATAGGAGATATCCTCATCAATATCCACATCAACCTAACTCAAAATGTGAGACGGATCCAGTTTATACTTCCATAACATCGACACATAAAAAACATTGTGCACCCAATCCAACTGTGGTGGCAATACAAGTCTGTAGGCAACCTCTCCTACGCGGTCCAAAATCTCAAATAGTCCAATGAATCATGGCAATAACTTGCCACTTTTCCCGAACCTCATCAAACCCTTCCGTGGAGAAACTCGTAGAAGAACATGATCTCCCACCTTAAAGGATAACGGTCGTCTCCGCTTATCCGTATAGCTCTTCTGTCGGCTCTGAGCTATGAGCAACCTCTGTCTTATTAGCTTAATTTTCTCGGTAGTCTTGAGTACAAAGTTGGGTCATAAGGCGGTTGTTTCACCTACCTCAGTCCAACAGATTGGAGACCTACATGGTCTGCCATACAATGCCTCAAATCGAGCCATCTCAATGCTCGCCTGATAACTATTGTTGTAGGCAAACTCAATAAGTGGAAGGTGATCCTCCCAACTACCTCCCAAATCAAGTACGCATGCCCGAAGCA